GGAACCCAAGATGCATGATGTGCTGTGTAAGGAGCTGTGTGCTGACTGCAGGAGACGAGGTGGTTAATTGTTGCACAGTCTGCAGCTTGCTTCCAGGGTAGGGAAATCAGGGAGGGCTTCCCAATCAGTTTCATCAGATTGGGAGGGGGAGGTGAAAACAAGGACAAGCAGGCTCTGGCCAACAAATCCATACAGTAACAACCTATTGGAATATTATTCAGCCTTAAAAAGAAGGAAATACTGACTTATGTAAGCGCATGGATGAACCTGGAGGACATGATGATGAATGAAATAAGCCAGACACAAAAGGACAAATACTGCCTGATCCCACTTCATCTAGAATAGTCAAACTCAGAGACACAGAGGGCAGAATGGCGGTTGCAGGGGCTGGGTTGAAGGGGACATGGAGAGTTGCTTTCAGTGGGTGTAAAATTTCAGGTGAATGATGTTCCAGAGCTCTGTAGTACACCATCATGCCTACATGTAGTGATTAGAAAGCTGAAGAGGGTAGATCTCATGTTAAGTGTTCTTCCCACAATGGAAAACTCTTGATGTGCATCTTAGGGAGGGGCCCGCACATTGTGGGTAGGCACAGCGCAGTGCTGTGACAGTCATTCCAGAGAGCCGCTCAGGAAGGCCCCGGGTCAGAGGCTGCTGGCCCAGACAGACCATGTCTCTGCATTCGAGGCCAGGTGAAGAGGTGGGGACACCTTGGTGACAGCGGGAGAGGGCATAACACAACATCTCAGCATAAGGATCACATTGGCAAGGGCAAGCTGTTCCCTCCAGGAAAGGCTTGGCGGAGCTTAGGGACAGAGGGCACCCCGGCGGAGCGCGCCGGTGGTGGGGGTGCCTGCACTGTGCGCTCTGCTCAGCTCACCCCGCTCAGATCCATGGCGAGGGGTTCATTAGTGTAAGTCAGAAGCCTGGCGAATAGAGTGTAGTTTTCTTAATTAAGAGGAGATTTTACCAGGGGTTGTGGGGATGGATGGAGAGATGAATAGGCAGAGCACAAATTTTTATGGCAGCAAAACTAACATGTTAGATACTATAATGTTACATGTCTTTATAACATTTGTCCAAACTCATAGGATGTGAGTGAGTGAGTCGTGATATTAAGTTTGGGTGATGACGATGTCCCACTGTGGGTTCATCATTTATAACACATGTACCACGCTGGTGGGGATGTTGATGGAGAGGCTGTGTGTGTGCGGGGGCAAGGGTATAGGGGAAATCTCTGTACTTCCTCCCAGTTTTACTAAAACTGCTCCAAAAATACCTATCTTAACAAACGAAGAGATTTCACCTCTTCCAGCCCCACGTTGCAATTATGAATATCCCATTTATTTGCCCCATATGAAGGTCAGGCCAGTTGAGAATCCCAGTGGGAAAGAAGGCCCTGCCAGGGAATTCAGATCTCAGATAGGCCTTGGCATGCAGGAGACGTTTCCCGAGTGTGCGCAGCATGCAGCTGCAGCCCCCCACGTGCAGCCCCCCATGTGTAGCCCCCCACATGCAGCCCCCCACGTGCAGCCCCCCACGTGCAGCCCCCCACGTGCAGCTCCCCCACGTGCAGCTCCCCCACGCGCAGCTCCCCCACGCGCAGCTCCCCCACGTGCAGCCCCCCACGTGCAGCCCCCCACGTGCAGCCCCCCACGTGCAGCCCCCCACGTGCAGCCCCCCCACGCGCAGCCCCCCACGCGCAGCCCCCCACGTGCAGCCCCCCACGTGCAGCCCCCCACCAGCAGCCCCCACGCAGCCCCCCCTGCAGTCCCCCCTGTAGCCCCCCCCTGCAGCCTCCCCCTTGAAGCCCCCCCCCAAAGCCCCCCACCTGCAGTGTCCCACTTGCTCTGGGTTTCTGGAAGAGAAAAGCCAATGAAATAGTGCCCTGCCTGTCTTCATAATATAATAAGCCTGATTTTGTTTTCATGGCTGTGGTGTCACGGGAATAAATGACTACCTTTTTTTTTTTTTCAGATTAATCAGTGTTTTCAGTTAAACTTCATTAACTTTAGGATTAGGATGAGTTCATCCAACTTGTTAGTGCTCCCTGCTGCAGTCCATAGGAGGCCGTGCCTGGACATGGCACTGTCCCGTGGCATCTCTCCTCTGAGCCTCACACACTGGCGGCCTGAGCCAGAACCTAGTGACTGATGGAGTTCAGTCATCAGACTTTCCCTGGGGCACCCTGAATGTGTGTTTATGTCCTCCTCCGAGGACATTCCTTCCCTAGGGAAGTCGGGAGCCTGGCTCTCCTGTCTGAAAGGTACTTTCTAACCAGTAGGTGCCCAGTAGATGTTTACTGATGAATGAACACACGCATGAGCTCTGAGCCATCTAACTCCAGGCAGAGGGTGGCCCCCTCATTGAGGCTTTTTCTGGTTCCCGTACCAGCTCCCTTCTCCCAGGGGCTTTGGTGTGGGAGGAGGGGCAGCTCGGCCTCTTTCTGCCTCTGCAGGCTGACGAACTCTGCTGTGGGCCTAACCTTCCTCCTCCTTCTCTTCTCAGTCTTGCTCTCTCCCCAATCTTTCTTAGTATCTTTTCTGGAAATGTTTTTTTCTGCCTGTTTTCTATTACAAAATTACCAAACATTGAGAGAAGTTGAAAGGATCCTGTATGGCTCTATTCTTAGGACATGTGCCAGGAACTGAGCCCCTCAGACTCCCAGTCGTGGCCTCATTACCTGGACCCGTGCTGCTCATTGGCTTTGGTTCTGGCCATAGCACATGTACGACTTTGGTCCCCTGGCCCCTGCCTCGGCTGAGTGGCATCGCCAGCCTGGGGTCAGAGGCCTTGGTTTATCCTGGCTCTGCTGTGGACTTGTTTACTTAATTATTATTTATTAATCCTCACCTGAGGATATGTTTATTGATTTTAGAGACAGGGGAAGGGAGAACTTCAGTCGGTTTCAGTGCACAGATCGAAGCTCCAACTGACTGGGCCATACTGGCTAGGACTTGGCTCTGACATTTAAAGGTGTGTTCCTGGCTGGTGTGGATCAGTGGTTAGAGTGCTGGCCCCCAGACTGAAGAGTCTTGGGTTCCATTCCTGGTCAAGGGCGTGTACCTGGGTTGCAGGTTTGATCCCTGGCCTCAGTTGGGGCACCTGTGGGAGGCAGCCAGTTCATGTGTCTCTTTCACATCGATGTTTTTCTCTCTCTCTCTCTTTCTCTCTCTCGCCCTCTCCCTTCTTCCCTCCCACTCTAAGAAAAATCAATGGAAAACATATCCTTGGGTGAGGATTAACAACCACAACAAAAAAAGGTGTGCGGTTGTGTGACTTAACCTCCCACGGTTTGTTCCTCGTATGTAAAATGGATAAACGTTAGTGTGAGGTGTCGATAAAATAATGGTTCTTACCTCTCCGCATGTAAATGGTAGCAAGTATCATTGCTTCCTGGGGTGGAATGCAGAGTTTGGAATTGGACAGATTTAGAGTCAGATTCCAGCTCCTTGGAGCCTGTTTGCACACCTGTGAGATGGACACAAAGATAGCTTCGCACAGAGCTGGTGCGTGGCACCAACGGCAGTGTACTCGACACCCTTAGCTGGGGGGTGCTAGAACCGTCACCAAGTCCTCAAGACTCGAAGCTTCCTGAGGGAGGGCCGCGTGCTCTGGCTCCCCACCATACCCTCCGACCCAGCAGTCTGTCTGCTGGGTCCCGCCCTCGTGCCTGCCAGTGCCCCTTCCTCAAGCCACTCTGCCTTTCTCATGTGACCACGCTGCCACCTCTCAGGACGCCTGCGTGTGCTTTCTCCTCCGTGTAGCGTGTGGCGGCCGTCCTGTCTTCTTCAGGCCTCTGCTCAGGTTCTCTCCTCGCAGAGGCCTTCCCAGAGCACTGTGGGAACGTCACGCTCCCGCCGTCGGTCTTTCTCACCTTGCTTTTGTTTTCCTCCTGGCACTTTTGCTCCCCCTGAGAGGTCCGTGCGTGCAGGCAGGGACTTCGGTCTGTTCTGTTCATTCAGTGCCTGTGCCTTGTAGGTACAGTGAATGTGTGTGGACCCGATGATTTTTGGTCTTCCTTCGTGACGCCTTGGTGACAGCAGGAGAGGGACACTTGAGACGCCTGCCTTAGAACTCCATTTATAATGGTGCAACCACAGGCTTCACACCGTTGAAAGTGCGCTGAGGAAGCCAGGGTGCAGACCTCCGTGTCGGACCCTCATCGCGCCGGTGTGGCTTCTGGGGAAGAAGGGACAGGAGGGTCTGTGTTTTCTCCTGCTTTATCTGAACAAGGGGCCTCTAGTGTCTGACCTACAGACTGGGAGGAGCCTCCATCATTCATTCCTTGCCTTTCTTCCCCATGAAACCTGGGCTGTGGGCTTGAGATCTAAATGATATGGTGAACAACATCTTGAATACGTGGATGGACAGGGACGATGGTTGTTTGATGAAGACAGGACACTGGGGTGGTTATTTACTATAAAGGCATGGTTTCCTGTCACTGAATACTTCCCTATGTAGAAGACATCCAAAAGAGTAGCTCCTAGAAGTGCCTATGGATGTGTATTGGAAAGCCCCCCGCCCCCTACAGTGTCTCCTGTATACTGTTGATAGAAGTCAGTGTAGGAAAACCAGATAGCTTAGTAAACTTGAGTATTTCTATGTCTGTGTGGACCCAAATGTCACTTGATCTGCTGTCTGCTCTGCTGTTGATAGACAACTGTAACTGGGAATAATCAAAACAGATATTGTCCAGCAGCAGGGACCTGGGAAAGCACTTAGAAACCGCAAGCCTGTGTTTTGCAGTGTGGCTGAGTGGATTCACCAAGGAAACACCTTCACGTTTATTCCACCCTGCCTTGCCCTTCTGTTTTGTGTAGCATTTAAGGGTGATCACCTGAGCCCTTTGGAGAACTTAGACTGTATAGGAATTACTTTTGAAAGGGAAAGGGAACTTGTCTAGACAAGTCTCTTTAAATAGCACATAATCCAGATTGGCGAGAGGACGGTGTAACAGCGAGATCCCCTGATTAATTTGACTTGCTCTCTTCCCCTAGATGAGCTGCGACAAGCCATCGTGGCCATGATGAACAGGAAGGATGAGCTGGAGGAAGAGAACAGGTACCGTGATCTTCAGGCTCGAGGCGGGGTCTCTTCCTTAGACATGCTACCTCTGGGACAGAAGAACAACACGGGTGAAGAAAACGCTGCTTTTTGGACAAAATTGTGACCAATTGTATTTTTGTCTGCAAAATACCACTTTAGTATATATATTGTAGTCTGAGTGTTTGCAAGGAATGAAAACCTTACATTCATGGACCACTTTAGAATACACTAAAAATTTTTTTTTTTTTCTAAGTAAAGTTTAGAATTTATTTCAACTGTGAACGCAGGCAACAAACCATAGTAGCATTAGAAGTACTGTGACTTTGTCACCAATAGAAAACACATTTTCATATCCTGATATAGTGGTTACAGCTATCTTGAAATTGTTTAAAATTATCACTACTTCAAAATCACTGTGGCTATTAGACCTACTACAAGATCTTATCTAATTTGTATTTTTTTTTAAAAATTTTTTAATTTATTTTTTTGTTACAGATATTTTACCTTTTTTACCCCATTGGCACCCCCCTCCCCACCCCTCCCCCTCCCCACCCCACCCCCTCCCCGTCCCCGGCTTAATTGTCCGTGTCCATTGGTCATGCATACATGCATATAAGTTCTGTGGTTTATCTCTTCCCACCCCACCCCCACCCCCTCTTCTGAGGGATGTCAGTCTGTGCCCTACTTCCATGTTTCTGGGTCTACTGTATTCCTCAGACTGTTATGTTCATTATATTCTGTATATAAGTGAGATCATAGAATACACTAAAAATTTGGTAAAGCAGACTTTTTAGAACTAAAAAAAAATACACACACAAAACACCAGCCTCATTGAGATACGATTCACATACCATACAGTTCACCCATTTAAAAGGGTACAGGTCAATGGTTTTTAGTGTAGTCACAGCTTCATGCTGTGGTGGTGACCACAATTTTAGAACATTTTCTTCATGTTAAAAGAAACTCCATGTACCCCTTGGTGGTCACCCGTCGACCTAGTAAAGCAGTGTTTTGAGTAACCTTTAATTAAGGGCCTATCTGCCATGTTGCAGGCACTTCAAATACTTGTCTCCAAGTTTTCTCCAATAAGGGATACTTTGGACAAGATGGTATTTGAATTCTTTTGACTTCCCCAGAAGCTCCGTTGCAGACACTGAGAGGGCGAAGGGTTTTTTGACTCTTATTCCCTGTTGAAACCAGTGCTAGATTCTGGCAGGTGTCATCTGTGTCACCACCACCTGGCTGCTGATGGGAGCTTCTCAATGGCCAGCACCTTGCAAGGTGCTCCCTGGGGGTGAGGGTGGTTCGTGGTGGTCCTGGTGCCTGTGTGCGCACGTGTGCGTGAGTGTGTATTCATGTCACCCTCTTATCCTTTTACTCAGAGCAGGAATTGAGCATCCATGGTGACATGTAATCATGATTCTCCTTTTTAAAACCTTATTTTGGGCCCTGCTCAACAAGCTTCTCCCTCATCCTTTATGGAAACATACAGAAGCAAACAAGCATGACTTCTAAAACTAAAGAGAATTTTTTTAAAACAGAATCTTTAGACAGCATGATTTTTCCAACTAAAACTTTCAGCAAAGGGCCCATAGACATTGCAGGAATTTTCCCCCTTGCTCCGGCTGGAGCTGGTATCTTGGAAGAAGCCATAGGTTTTCCTTACCTTCTGAGAAGCAACAGTCACTGTCTGTTAATTTCTTCTCCTTCTCAAAGAAAGAAAACCATCCTACTATGATTTGTGTTGGGGGTTCCAGGCCCCAAGGGGGGCATTTTCTCACAGGTCTTGGAGAGTTTTGTGAACAGTGGGGGTGGGGAGGTCAGACACTTTTGCTTATTTTCGGATGTCTTGTGGCAAGTGGCCTCTACATACGGGAGGTGGATGCACCAGAGGCAGTGGCTGTGCCTTAGACATAGCCGTCGAGCCCCAGTGAAGTAAGTGGTCAGCAGAACCACGCTTGGCTCACTTCCGGTCATTTCTGGACGAGCTGCTGTCTTGTCCGCTACTCACGACCAAGGATGACAGATTCGCAAGCGCATGTGCTTTGGAGGGTTAATAAACTGCAACTATTAATAACATACGATATATGCAACGTCAGACTAGATAGCTCTATGAAACTCTGTATGTGCTTGTCGTCCCTGGAGAGGCAGAGGGTCAGGGTTAAAGTGTGCTTTGTGGCTGGAAGTGGACATGAGGGCAGGCATGTGTAGGGGTGAGCCCTGTTCTGCTTCTGTGGCTCAGATTGTTCCTTTGGTCGGAGCCGGCATCCTTTCCTTTGCTAATCTCCTCCTCAGTGTGACTGTGTCACAGTGGCCTCTGCAAGCCGCACCTTTGGGTGGGGTGTCTGTAAAAGGGTTTGCCCGGGATGCACTCAACTCATTGTTTCTCTTGATTTAAGCTGCCCACCGGCTATTGGGGACGCAGAGCCTGGGCTGCAGGTGATTCCCCTGGGGCTCATCCAAATTATTATTCTGAGACTTTTGAGCGGAGTTGGGTATCTCCTTAAATGAATTTATATGAGATAGATTTGAATTGTGGTTTATGCAGAGCCTTGTGGGAAATGAATTAGAACTTGACTAAGGTAAATAACTGTTCTGGGCTTGATGGACTCGAGGTTAACAGCATCTGAGCAGATGGGCCCTCCCCTGTCCAGGTCGCTGCGGAACCTGCTGGACGGTGAGATGGAGCACTCGGCTGCCCTCCGGCTAGAGGTCGACAGCTTGAAGAGGAAGGTGGCTGAGCAGGAGGAGAGGCATGCCATGAAGACCCAAGCACTGGCACGGTAGGAGGGCAGAGGAGCTGGGAGGTGGGCGCGGGGAGGCTTTACTAAAACCCAGGCACACCTTCACAGCACTTTCTAATGAAAGAAAGACAACGACCAGTGGAAATAACATTTATGCATTTGAAATTTTAATATTTTATTGAATACATATTGAATAATATGTATGTAAATGGTTCAGAATACAAAAGGTATACATGGTTAAAGTGTGCAGTGTCCAGTGACCCAGTGTGCCCTGGCGATGGGCGATGTTGCTGACTCCAGAGATGCTCTGTGCGCACTCAAGCTGATACGTGCACACGTACTGTCTTTTCATTTCCCTCCCCGCCTCCCTTCCTCCTTTTCTCCCTTAATGCCCAGTGGTGGCGTGTCTTCTACACCACTGACTCTACATGTGGAGATGGTTCTGTGCTGGTGTACACAGGGCCGCCATCTTTACCAGCTCATCTGTCCTTGCCTGACTGAACAGATCATTTAACCAGTGCGCCAACAGCCAGGCATTGAGGTGGTTTCCAGTCTTTTGCTACTTCTAATAATGCCACTGCGAATAACCCTTGCATTTGTTATTTTGCTCCTCTATGACTATATTTGTTGGAAACATTCCTGGAAGTAGAATTGCAGAGTCAGAGTTCTGTGCTTTTCTCAGTTGGCTAGAGATCATCAGCTTGCCTTCCGTGGAGGCTGAGCCAATGCTCGTTCCACACAGCGGGGGAGAGGGCGTGACCCTGCAGCCCTACACACAGGGGTTGCAGGGGTCGGTTCCAGCTTCTGGGCCTTTGATAATATTGCAGGTGAAAAATGGTGCTGGCGAATAGTTTTCATGTGCATTGCCCAGTTAAGAGTGTGCTTGAGCCCTGGCCAGTTTGGCTCAGCAGTTGGAGCCTTGGCCTGCGGACTGGATAATCTCGGGTTCGGTTCCCGCTAAGGGCACGTACCTTGGTTGCAGTTTGTCCCTGGCTCTGGTTGGGGTCGTGTGGGTGGCATCCACTCGATATGTCTCTCTCACATCGATGTTTCTCTCTCTCTCTTACTCCCCTTCTCCTTCCCTCTCTATCTGAAGATAAATGCAAAAAATGTCCTCAAATGAGGATAAAAAAAAAGAGTGTGGTTGAGCCTGTTGTTATTTAAGAGCCATTTTATTTTCCTGTGACTTTGTTTATGTCTTATTTAAGGAGAACTACATGGAACCCCTCCAGAATCCCAGCTCCCATGAAAACATACATCTTTATGGAATTTGTTCACATGGAAAGATATTTTTATGTACTATACTTAAAATCTGTAGCCTGTCATTTCTTACTCTGCCCCCCCCACCCCCTTTAAGCTTCATGCTAACCATTCCCATATGCCTGGAGGTAGCCTTTCATTGAATTAATGTACCAATTTAAAATAAGCGTTTGCTGGACATTGGAGTTGTTCCAGTTTCTCCCCCATTTTAGGTGAGACAAACCGTTTATTGGTTATTATTTAAAACTACTTCAAAGTAAGGCCAGGAGACAGATATGCCCGGTGGATGTGCGAGGGACTCGAGGTCAGCAAGTCTACAGCAGCGGGTCTCTCATCCCTGTGCTCAGTGCGAGTGGCACCGATGTGGCAGCCCCGCGTGTAATTGAACGTTGGCACCCTGATCCCACATCTAACTCTAGTCTGAACTTCTCTCCTTTCTTTACATTTTATTTTTATTTTTTTATTCATTTATTTATTTTCCTTTATTTACCTTAGAGAGAGAAGGGAGAGGGAGAGAAAGATAGAGCATTAATGAGAGAGAACATCAATCGGCCGTCTCCTGCATGCCCCCCACTGGGGATTGGGCCCACAACCTGGGCATGTGCCCTGACCGGGAATCGAACCAGCGACCTCTCGGTGCATGAGTCGACACTCAACCGAGCCACTCTGGCCGGACTCCTTTCTTTACATTTTATTTTATTATTTTTTTTCATCCTCACCTGAGGACATTTTTCCATTTTTTGTACAGATAGAGTGGGAGGGAGAGAGAGAAAGAGAGAGAGAGAGGGAAACATCGATGTGAAAGGGACACATCGAGTGGCTGCCACCCACACGACCAACCAGGGCCGGGGACAAACTGCAACCGAGGCACATGCCCTTAGCGGGAACCGAACCCGGGTCTCTCCGGACCACAGGTGGACGCTCTAACCGCTGAGCCAAACCGGCCAGGGCCTTTCTTTACATTTTAAAGTGACATCTGCAGAGCATCGGACAGTTAAATGATGATGACAAATACAGTCATCGGGGCCCAATTTGGCATTTTGTCAGCAGGACCACCGTTTTGCCTGGCCAAACTAGGATTCTGGGGTGTAATGCTGTTTGCTCACAGTCAAGGCTGAAGTCTGCAGAGACTGTGGTTCTGAATCACCAGAGAAAGGCAGACTTATATTCCCTGTCCTATCTGAATTGTGTTAAGGGTCAGCTTAGCCTTGAGCCCCTGTTCCTTTGGGTGAAGACTGAGCGTTTCTGGGTGAACTGCTTAACTTTCCCAGCGTGCATTTTCTCACGTATAACTTGGAGAAGCTGAGCGCATCCACACTGGAGGACTGAGGAGGAAAGGTGTGTGTGGCAGGACATAAGGCTCTGGCCATCCAGTGTGTTTACAGGAAGCATATTTTAGTATGTGATAATTCTTAGGAAAATTTTAGCTCAGGAATGGAGTAGAAAATTTTTTCTTAACCAAGCCATTTTATAACCTGCAGTCTCTTCATTTAAACAACAGGTAGCTCAGAGTTTAAGGTGCTGAAAGTTTGCAGTTTGCAGGTAGAAGGAACATTTGTAAAATAAGCAACTACTTCAAGAAAAATACAGGAAGAAAACAAACAGAGAGGCTGGGTGTGTACGTTTTGAAAAATTCTGCGGCCGACATGTTCCAGGCAGAGTTCCTCTTTGCTGACTGGCAGGACCTTCTTCTTGCCAGAAGGAGTAGCTGTCGGTGCTCTCAAATGGTGGTCCCGTGTGGGCAGCGTTGCTTGGGGGCTCGAGGGCACGGGCAGCATGGGGCAGCGAGGCTGAGCCAGGTCTGTGTGTGAGCACTGGGCCGCCCTGTTCTCTGGTCCACGTGTGCTCAGGTGGCAGGTGGCATGATTCCAGTGTCTAGCCTAGTGGTCGGTGGCAGGATTCTGGCATGCAGGGGTCCGACTGCGGCGCTACTGCTTGTTAGTTGTGTGACCTTGAGCAAGTTACTTAATTTCTCTATCTCCTTAGTTATAAATTGAGGCTAAGAAAACCCGCTACTTCAGAGGGTTGTTGCACAATAAAATGAGAGACCGTATGTCAGCTCAATAAATGTGCTTCATAAATGCTCAATAAATGTTAACTATCATCATTTTTCTCTAGTATGATAATTATATTACCAAAAAACCTTGCCAAATCGAAAGTTATATTTTAACGGCAGTGGTGCAGAACGAATTAAGTACCAGAATATTTCAGACGGAAAAAAGTGAAATTATTTCTGCTATAAGTATTCTAAGAGTGTGTATGAGTGTTTTACTGGCTCTGGGTATATGCTAGTTGTGAAACTGAAACATCACTGAACAAATTCAGCATTTTATTACACATTTCTTTGTGCTCAACATTAATGGCTTTCCTCTTTTGCTCTCTTGGCTCAACCAAGAACAGGGTCATATAGCCAGCCCAGAGCTTGTATGACTCCAAGCAGCTGTTCGTTCTGAGGTGGAGGCGTTAGAATCAGTAGCAGTTCAGGATGGGTGAGCCTTGTTCCCTAAATCATTAGTTTCCTCATTTCCCACTGAATGGAGAAAACTCAAGCTATGAGAAGGTGTTCACAGGAAGAAGACACCCAGTGACATGAGAAGTACCTTTGAGAGAAGCAAGTGAACGGGGTTGTGCATTGTTGGGGAGACCTTTTCTTTTTCTATTCATTGTATTAGTTATTGCTTGCTGTATAACAGATCATCTCCAAACAGTGCACCCTAAAACCTCCCGATCCTCCGCGATTTCTGTGAGTTAGGGACCTGGGGTGGTTCATCTGGGTGGTTCTGGCTCTGAGTCCATCTGTTGGCTGGAGCTGGTCACCTGAAAGCTGGCTGGGGACGAAGGGGCTGCTTTAAGCTCACTCATGTGGCTGTTGGCAGGAGGCTTCAGTTCCTTGCCAGGTGGGCGTCTCCATGTGGCTGCTCACAACACAGCAGGGGCTTCTCAGAGCGAGGAACTCACGAGCAGGGGAACACACCCAGCATGGAAGTCACTGTGTCTTTTACAGCCCACTCTCGGAAACGAGACATGATTACTTCTGCGGTGTTCCATTGTCACCCAGATCAGCCTTGGATTGTGTGGGAGGGGCTGCACGTGGATGTTCATGCCCGGAGGTGGGGGTCATTGGGGACCGTCTTGGAGGTTGCCTACTATGCCCTCCCTGGGTTCCAGAGCAGGCTAGACGGTCCAGGCCTGGACAGTCAGCCTCTTCCATCCCTTGGTCATCATGATCAGGTCAAAGAAGGGCATGTGGCCAGGCTGACCTGCTCACAGCGGGTTATAGCATTCTCGAGAGGATATGATGTAAGCCAGGAGTTGCTGGCAGCTCTTTGCTACTATGTGGGAAGATCCTGGTGCCCACATGGTGACAGCACAGTGGATAAATAGAGGCGGAGAGAGACTCACAGGTCTTGATGATATCATTTGAGCTTCTGGACCCCGTGTTTCCTGAAGGTGTTGTTCCTCTGGGCATTTCAGTTACATGAGCCAATCAATTCCTTTTGTTACTTGAGCCAGTTCGTCACTGGTCCTCACTCATTTGTGCTCTGAGTCTGGACCGCTGATGCTCCTAGTGCGGCTGTTAGGGGATTGCAGCAAGTTGTGTTTTCTCTCCGCTCCCTCCGGGAAGAGACATCCAGGCTGTGTGAGTCCCCAAGGATGCGAGCGCCGCCCACTGGACGGTTGGACAGAGCCCCGCTCAAGGCTTCGTCCTCCTCTCCCATGTTGGGACTGACCTACTCCTGCTCCTTGGTCACAGCTCTTCTCTCCTGTGGAGGACCTCT